TTTTGTTTGTGTGCAGATCAATGGTATTTACTTTTTGCAAGGTTTTGGGTTCACATACTTTGGCTAACTCTAATTCTTTGTTTTTGTCATTAATGTTTTGAAGGTATTCCTCTATTTGGTACCTGCAAACTCTTGGTTTGGTTCTGGTGGAGTTGATAGGTTTGAGTTCCTGTAGCTATAAGGTAATAGAATACTCTTTACATTTTGTTATACCTAAATAATGTATATAGGTTTTATTGTTATGCATAAGAACTTTTGTTTATTTGTTGTGTTAATGCATATGTGTACATAATGAACTTTGGTTAAGTAATAGTTACTTACTTCAGTAATTTGTTGCTATTGTATGGCTTTTAAATATTTTTTGTATAACGATATTCTGGCCCATATATATATATAAATAAATGTGTCGAACATGAAAGTATCGAGTGGAATGGGATGCATGCACGCAATGCTATACAGTTCTGATGCCGAAAGGCTAATCCCTTTCACTTTAAGTGAATTGTATGAGGCAGAACAACAAATGTTGAAACTTATGCACACCAACATATTTACTTAATATATAGAAAGGAACTGATGTCTATTTCAACTCACCAATTGCTAATTCAATAGAATGGATTTTGTATAAGGGTAAACTAACCAACTTCTTATTATTCAGAGTGCGACCTTATCTAGGTGGTATCAGACAACATTTCTTTCATTGTCTATGTCTTTGTGTAAAAGAATATTACTGCATTAATATATTTTCAGAACTCTTTATATGCATAGATAATTTTAGTTGAAGAATAATTGTTTCCAAGGCTCTTTAAAATATGGTTTGAACAATCACATTAATTTTCTCTCACTTATGTACTTATTTATGTGGTTTGCTTATAATGAGCAATGAAATTTATTAACTCATTTGCAGGTTAAAGTGATACTCTTTCAGCTTGGGACTGCTGTTCAAGGAACNATCAGGTCAGTGTATTGTTCCTCACAAATACTTTGCTTATTGTATTTATTCAAGTGGTCATCTCATCATTAATGTTTGATAATTTTTTGACTGTTTATGTTTAGTAAGTTTATTGATGCTAAATATGTGTAGTCAAATATTATAGCAACAGTTTTTATTTATCCTTATATTTGTCTAACATTTGTTCTTATTTAAATAGTTCAAAATATCCTAACTATATAATTTATAAATGGTTCTGTGTCGTAACAATTTAATGAAGTAAGTTATTGCATCTTGCTGTTGTTTGACTTAGGTATTAAGAACCTAATAAGTGTACTGCTTGCATAAAAAATTAGAATAGTAGGCAATATAGATTAATATATAGTACTTGCATCTTGCTGTTGTTTGACTTAGGTATTAAGAACCTAATAAGTGTACTGCTTGCATAAAAAATTAGAATAGTAGGCAATATAGATTAATATATAGTACCTTTCCATTGAAAAAAAAATTACTGATACCTCTCCCGTATCTCTCCCGTATTTATATACACTCCTCTTATCTCTACTAATATTTTTGCTTTATTATAGTTAATTTGTCTAATAGTCTGTTCTTTAAAGTTTCTAAGGCTGAACATATAGTGTAATGAACATATCGAACTTAGATAATTCCTTTACAGGGAATAGCAATACCGACCCTATGGATTCTAGGAAAAGATATCAACAAGTAGCAAT